TGGTCAATCATCCGAATGAATGCTTATTTTTTGCGTTGTGAATAAATAAACCGTTTTTATACATTTTTCAGTTTTCCGTATGAACAACTACGCACGAATAAAACACTGAATCTTTAGATATCTCAATTAATTAATATAATTTGTTTGATTAGCCAATGAAAGTACTTACTTTAGAGTACAATAAGAATTATGACGTCAAAAGATTAAAGGTGACTATTAGAAAGTTTTGGCAATACCTTAGCATCGTATCCACCGGTCGCAATAGTGGCACCATCGGGAGAATAAGCAAGGCAGCTCATCTTGTTGAAATGGCCCTGTTGCTTCATGGCGAACGTTTCGCTTTGCCACTCCCAGACCACCAGTTGGCCGAGTTCGGCTGAGGCAATGCCAATCCAGTCGCCGGTGGAGTTCATCGTCACGCTGTCGATCGCGTATCCGGAAATGCTTAATGTGAAATAGCATTACAATCTGTCACCGAAACAATCGCCTGTGAATCGAACACTAACTTTAAACTGTGAATCAGGTTGAAATCCGGCATCTCGTGCAGCAGAAACGAACCGTTCGAATGCCCAGACACAAGCAACCGTCGCTTTTTGTGGTAAAAGGCACTCGTCAGCTTGACTCCCTTTTGCTGAATGGCGCCGAAGAATGAAAATCTTTAACGCAATAACTGACATAGAAGTATATGCAAAGAAATCGTCTCTCTTACTTTGCATGTTTGGTAAAGAATTGTTTGTGGATTTTGTCTGTAGCTGCGTCATCTGTTGACGGTGAGGCTTCTTCGGCGGTTGGTTTTCTTTTGGACGAACCATATAACGCATGCAGTTCAACGTTGCATTTCCAAACGATCATAAAACCGCTCGAATCTATTGCATACAGCTGAAAGATAATTCTATACTGTCACAAGTGTGACAATGAAAAGCAATATTTAAAATGGATTTCATTTTCTAGATCTCATTTGGTACGCACTACAATTAATTTAAACATCTCTAATCCTTAGAAACTGGATAAGCCTTGTAAAGCTCAACAATTTTAACAATGATCATAACGAAAACTTATTGGTACAATATATGCATCTATCAATATTAATTTTAATATTTGGTAGATAGTGACATGTACTAATTGCAACTAGATGCCCTGCGCTTATGATACCAGCTCATACCAGTAACAAAGATGACAGTAAGCTTCTCACCGTTTTTTCTGTGATGCACCAGTCTTAAGTAAAAGCAATCATCTGGTAATCGAAAGCCACAAAAATATCTCTGTAAATATCATATGGCAAAAGTCAGATCAGCACCATCGAATCACTTGGATTTTTTGATGACCTTTAAAAGCGTACAGCGAGAAATGCGCCCATGTGAATGCGTTTTAATTATTCGAAATAAATCACTATATACGCAAACATCCTCCATCAGATACGGCATCGTTCCGTAGTGCAGAGTTGAAACCACCAGAGAAGATGCAAGTGACCGAGCTTACCAAGGATAACTCAGAGCGGGCAAAGCTTCGCAGAGCTGTCACCCAGAATCTCATTCGACCGAATTTAAGGGCAAACGTACGTTCAGTTCTAAACACATAACAATCATGAACAACAACCACAAGCGATTGAAAAAGTCGAAAGAAACTGAAAGCAATACAAAAAAACAGCCTCCCTCTCCCCGCCCAGTCCCTGCGTCCGGCTTGAGTCAGACGACAAAGATCTCTACCACCTGACTGCCGGACAGACTTCAACCGCGACGGACTGGTATTCAAGGGGCAACAAGTGCCCTACTGGAGGACACCTCGGTTCAAATAGGGTGATAGGCTTACAGATAAATCTATGGAATCTTATGGCAACAAACAGCATAAACATGCGAGCGAGACACGGAGACAAAAAAATGGTATTCTGCGATAATTACGAAGAAGGATGAGTCAACTGCTGTTGCTGTCAATATGCAAATATATTTTTGCCTACATAAATGCAATTGTCTGGTAAGTATAGGCCAGTACACATGATAAATTTACGTTTACAATTCACTTTATACGCAGATATAATCTTCTACTAGGCTTGGCGTAAAACAGAATTTTGTACAGAATATGCTGTCGAATTATCTATACTGATCTGTACATATGCATTTGTATTTGTGTAGACTGGAAACAAATATGCGCATCTTAGTGATCTGTGCCAAAGATTATACACATCATTATAAGCTGAACTGGTTGCTATGCCATTCCTCTTATTATTTCCCGTCTTCTTACTTACAGTCTTTCACGTTCTAATTTTACTCTTCCTCTGTACCCTCTGTCTCCAACTCATATTTTTGTTATTATCCTTCATTTTGTTCTTCTTCGTTGAAGCACTGAAGCTAGCCAAGAAAAGCATGATTCAAATGGCGAATGGATGTTTCACTTCGCTTCATGATGAAGTTTTTCCTGCACCTTCTATGGTTTCAGTTCTATATCTTCGTCAGAGAACTGGAGATTAGAGGAAGGAAACATGTGTGAGTGCTTATTCCCCTTATCTCAACGTTAATTTGACAAAATTTCATGAACGTTGACAAATTCGGTTGCCAGGCACTGCTAAATAGGACATGATAAGTATATTTATCAATTAAATACAAAAGTTCCTAGAAAGACAATATACTTTGCCTTATCAACCTGGAGAAGAGAATTAAAAGGGGGAGAATATCCGTTTTACATCAAAACAAATTATGGTCAAATCATTTCGTCATTACGTCTACCCCCACAGAAGAGGGAAAGACAACTTCTTACGCTAGAGCAGAGGGTAAACTACCTGTCCCGTCAAAACGATACCGAGATTAAAAGATGACTGCGTAAACTACGCCAGTCCGTTGAACAGGAAAATCCGCTATTATTCCACTATCATCATCCCGTTTAAACCTGAGCAAGAAATAACGTTTGTGTGCATAAGTTCGCTTCTGTGCAGCCTAGCAGTTTCAAAGAAGATACACTGCTTAACTTTTAAACAGTTCATTTAAAAAAAGGTTTAAAAACACAACAGCAAAGAAAATCGATCAAAACTCTTACGTCATAAGAGCCCGACTCGAAAAAACACGCTACGATTGGATTGCAATGGCCAGCAAAAGAAGAGACGATTTTCTTTCCGCTGTCGGTTAAGCCACAGATTCGCACCTGCATGTCTTGCGAGCCCACAAGAAAAAACCTGAATAATCAAACACTCCTATCAAAAATGAAAATGCACCGTGATTCATCTGCAGATAGATTTTAAATACGTTCAATTCCTTTCCAAAGGAATATTTTAAGGCAGTAGTGAATGCATTAATAGATTATAACATGAATTAAGGAATCCATAAATCAGTGATTGGGTAAATGATTAAACGAGCAAATTAACTAGTGAAGGAATTATGCAAAAATGCGTAAATGACTGAAAGAAAGAAAGCCCACAACTTGAACGAAATCGCAAAAGAATTTCATTTTTTGCCACAAAGAAATTAATGTTCGTAACTGAAAAGCAAACGTGTTGCCGTTCAAGAATGTAGTCCATTCATGTGGGTATCGATCAGGTTATACCTGGACAGAATAAAAGTGATTCGTTGTTCAGTCCAGATTTGTAATCATTGGCTTTTTTGCACTGCACTAAGTAATTTATAAGCAAAGTTGAACCTCCAATTAGAGAGTACATAGTACACGGTGTTAGATATAAGAGTAAGCATAGCATACAGAAATTGCGGCAAAACTGGGGTACTGCTAGTTTGACTGAAATTTCAAATAATTTCAGTCTCT